CACAAACAAGCATGCATTAATGCATTTGATAAAAATTGCTCATCTTTCATTGATGAGAGACTTGAGATGTCTTTTGGGATGGGGTGAAATATTTATGTGTGGATGCAAGTTTAAACAACGCAAGAGTCAATTTCAAATCAACCAAAGTCAAAAAGTTTCAGGTATTCCAACCAAAATAAAACCACCAGTCCAGCTCAGTCCATTGAACAGAAAAACAACAATTCCAAATTCCACGTCAGATTTTCCCGTCAGCTCAATCTAAAAGCAGGAAGAAAACAAAACAAAGGCAGGAAACGGCTCGGAAGAATAAGTGATATATTTACAACTATTTACTAGCAAGCATATTTAGTCAGATCCTGTCGTGATGGCGGTTTACTGGTCACTCTCTGTTTAGAGTAGCTCTTGTACTGGATCATGGACCATTCCAGACTTCAGCCTCACGGGTCTCGCACAAAGTGGAATGAAGTTTCCTCCATTGTCAGGCATTATCACTTGAGCAAGTCTCCATCATATTCAAACAGCATGGGTTAACGGGGCAGTTGGTGACTCGATTACTGGCAACTGAATGTGTGTTTTATGAGAGAATGTTGATTTTGTCAGGTTTGCCACATCATTTATATAGAAAACAGTGGGCCTCAAATTGAGCTTTGTGGCACACCACAAGTGTGATAGGTGGTAAAGGTTAAAGCATTCCCACCAGCAACTGATTGTCATATGGTTGAGATTTGATTTCAACAAGAGTATGGCACAATGCGATTCACCGTGTCAAATGTACTACTGAGGTTGAATAGTATCAGAATAGAGCAGTCACCAGTAAAGAAGTGAAATAAAATATAACTACATAAATAAACCAGCTTCCACAAGGCACACAAGAAGAAGTTTGATACGAACAAACAGCAGAAGAAACATGAAAACATGAGAACCACAAACGAGCTGAGTAACCATCCCAGTGCTGCCCTGTCATTAACATACAAACACACATCTGGCATTACATCTGCATGCATAAACAGGACACACACTGACAAACACACTGCAGTGTTTAGCCTTGTATGACCTCACCCTGCTGGTTCCCAGGTTATGATGTCATCAAAACCAGACCGGCCATGTGGTGAGGAAGAGGAGGGTGAAGAGAAGAGGGCATAATGATGGAGAAAAGAGAAGAAGAAGAGCATGAGGGGAAAAATTAGACAAAAAAAAAAGAAAAGAAAAATGAAAAATTAGCAATTAAGCAACAGAAGAGGAAAAAAAATATAAAAAAAACAATACACCCAATAATTTTAGAGGCCACAACATTGCAAACAAAGTCAAAGAAAAGAGTCACAGCTCCAGAAAAGCTACTCAACGTACCCTGAGGGTACATGTTTTAACTTGAGCTTAAATCTTTGTTATTCTGCAGCCGTTTGACTCGACTTCTTGAGTGTAATGTAAGATAGAGAAACTGGAGGAAAAGCAACTCAGAAGTGAGGATCTGCTGCATTTGTTTACATTTTTGGGTTTTGGACCGTTGGTCGGGCAAAACAAGGCTAAATGATGAATTGATTTATCGAGAAAATAATCAATAATGATAATTGTTGGATCCATCCCTAATACAGTCAAATGCTTCATTTAAAAATAGGTTCAACACCAGGAGCAGAGAAAAGGAGTAGAAGAGAGATAATGAAGGAGAAGAAATGTAAAAAGCTTGAGTAAGAGGAGCAGAGTTTGAGATGTTTGTAGCTGAGCCAGGCTGCAGGAGGTTCACCACAGTGATGATCACTGAACAATCCTCAGTAAACCACCATAACCACACTTCAACATTAGAGTGTGTTGGGAGTGTTATGTGGGGTTGGTTAAATGTAGAGGTCCGGAGGTTTTTGTGTGTGTGTGTGTGTGTGTGTGTGTGTGTGTGTGTGTGTGTGTGTGTGTGTGTGTGTGTGTGTGTGTGTGTGTGTGTGTGTGTGTGTGTGTGTGTGTGTGTGTGTGTGTGTGTGTGTGTGTGTGTGTGTGTGCGTAGAGTGAGATGAGACTGTTAGAGTGAAATGCGTCCGTCTCTGTCTGTAATCACTAAATATTTGGTTAATGATGAACAGTCACTGTCTGTAACTCTGTGTCATGTCTGCTGCATCTGCATGTAGACAATAACCAGGTCTGCGTGTGATTCAGCGGAAAGACAACAGCGACATGACGGCAACAATTCAGGTTTATAAAAACATGAATGTCTGCTGTGAGATGACAGCACGACGGGTGGCGACAAGTAAACAAAAGAGACATGATTGTTTGTAGGTTTTTTTTTTTGCCCTCCAGCGGTGTTGGCACCACAAAACAAACTTCCATTAACCGCCATCATATCATCAGCAGACGCCTCAAAACTTTAGCAGAGCCAAAACAACCAGGCTTAAAAAGGATTTTAGTGAACTGTCCCTTTAAGAGGGGACTTTTCTTTAGAGATATTGTGATTTATATTTACCCCCAGCCATTTTTCACAAGCATTTAAGTGTCTGACTATTTCTTGGCTCTGAGCAGTTGCCATCACCAGCGGAGACTCCAGAAAGTTACTGATCACTGGGCAGGAAAAGTGCTGCGTCCAAAATCTCATAATATGCACTACAACATGTATTGATCAACACACTGGTGAGAGAATAAAAGAGTAGTATGTATCTTTTCTTTGCTCAGTGTGTAATTATTACTTCATTTCCTGAGAGCCTGCTTGGCGGTCGGAGACAACGAACTGTGATGTTGTTGCCGCTAATGAATTTCATTGTGGGATATTTATGCCTGCATAGTGTCCAGTGCTTGCATACTGTAATATTTCCTCGTAGATAGTATGCATTTCACGTACATTTGGTTTCATACTAAGGTTTCGGACATGACGTACTAACACTGTTTTAGTGTTTGCCCCTGTTCCCAGTCACTGTTCTAAGCTAACCAGCTGCTGGCTGTGGCTTAATATTTCATGGACAGATAGGAAAGTGGAAAAGATCTGACGTTAGAAGGGGATGAAGGTGGTTGGGAACGACTGCACTGAAGACCAAAAACTTTAAATAAATCTAATTGAACGATCGAGAGAAATAAGAGACTTCCTGTAATAACACCTTTAAAAGTTTCTCAAAGTGGATTTTCATGACATTTGTTCCTTTAAGCTTCACATTGAAAAAGCCGCACAAAGCCGCACAATGCTGCAACGTTTAGACCTGAAACCAACAAAGAAGCTTTCTCTGTAGAGTGTGTGTGTTTGTGAGTGTAAGTCTATATCCCCGACCCTCTCATGTTACCTTTTCTGCAGCAGTACAGAGGCTCTGTGTGTTGTGTCTCACACTACAGCCTTCTAGTGTGGAAGGACAGCGTACAGAACAAGATGATAAACATCATAACACATGTTCAGGGTCAATATCAAACAGAAATAATCCCGTAAGCGCTTAGACTCCATCCCTGTCTGTAGAGCACGGAGCTGCAGGTTTGGGGGGCACACTTTGTTGTCCAAGAAGGAAGCTTTGTAATTTGTAAATTAGGCAAATGTCCGATCAAAGTGTGCTGCATGAGCTACCCTCAAAAGCTGATGTGTTTAAAGCAGCTTTTTAAATCCCCACACTGAACACTTTTAACCTTTATGGTTTAGTCACACCTGAATGGGGCTTTTGGCAGATTCACTACACGTCTTATCTCAGCAAGTCATATATTGTTATTTTAAGGCTTACTCAGAAAAGGCATCGATTTGCATGAGTTGTATTATACATGTTCTGGCAAACTTCCGGGAACAACATCTACAACATTGATTACAGCTAAATAAACTTGACAGCCATAGTAGCTCCGAAGGGGGACCAGCTATATCCTGGTTTCAACAGTAGAAATCGTTTACATTTTTCCCAGTTATCTACGACTCCTGACTATGACTTGCATTTGGGCAAGAAACATCCAACTGCAGAGCTTAATATTCTGTTACGTGTGCCGCTATCGGTGGAAACTAAAGATCACACTGTTGGAAAGATGGCAACAATCTTAAAATCAATTTGTGGATTCTATTGATTTTGGGCCTCCGACCGGCTTCTTCTCCACTGCAATGGTGGCCAAGGCTCATGGGTATTGTAGCATTTTGATCTGTCTGAGAGATGATTTCTCAAAAAGAAAAGTTCAAATAACTAAAACTGGCAGCCACAACATAAAGCTATATGATTTTTACATAATCCAGGAGAGTCCAATAGAGGATATCTTTAAAATAAAAACTTGAAATGGGAATACAGAACGGTGAAACGATCCCACTTCACTCACTAAATGTGTCTTTAAACATGTTTACCAGCTTGCCATCAAACTCTTTTTCAAACTCCTCCTTCCTTAATAATGATCTTGTTTGAATTTGCGAAAAACATGACATTTTCATGTCATGGTATTTAATTATAATAATAATGCCCTGTCACAGTTAATGTAAGCCCTGTTTAGGCCACTTGTGAGAGGGTTATCGGATTGAATTATGGCTGGTTATAGCTGGCTATTATTATCATCATCAATACTGCAGCCCCATTAATGATATTTGCTTTATGATAAGCATGCTTACATTTATACTATAATATGATTACTGTGAATAAAGTAATGTAAAAGTCCAAGGTCATTTCCACAATAACCTCAGATCACATGATTTTCTGGTTTAATGTTGGGACATCTACTCAACCAAATACAAGGAGAATGAAGGGACTTTGTTTTACAGTGTCTCTGGTTCTGACAGTGTAACCTGAAAGCAGTTTGTTCTTCACCCCAAAACACCACAAGTCACGCTTCCTGAATTCATCCAAAACCATCAGTCACGGTGGAGAATCAAAACATCAAATTGAAAAGTTATCCAGGCTGGTTTATCAAGTTGCACCTTGTTGCGTGGTGATGTAAGTCGTAATCTGGTTGTGATTATTGATCTGGTTGCAAGCACTGATCAACAGAAGCAGTACAAGCAGAGAAGCCGAGAATCTGGACTTTGGAACCACTTTATCTGCACGGCCCACATTTACGTTCTTTTACCAGCTGACACAGTTTGGCTGAGCTGCAGTGAAACCACAGAGAGCAAAGGTCAGAGCCATAAACATGACAGCAGCGCTGATGTTTTTTCTTCCTGGGGGAGTGAAACAGAGGAACTGAAACAGACGAAAGAAAAGAAAGATGGAACAAAACGGCCGAGAAGCAACCGGGTGAGGGTTCTTCGTGTGAGTGTGTGAGAACATGGCCAATCCAAACACTCCTGCCAGCTATGACTTATAGAGGTGGGAGACCTTTGCATGTAAGAGCACAGTAGAGTCTTTATGGCTCCAATTTCCAAAGGAAATGAAAACGATTCATGAACGTCTTCATTGCTACGCTTCAGTTCACTGAACTATTATTGTTTTGTTTAGGTTTTTGCTTCACTGGGAATCTCTTCCATCGTTACATAAAGTCTTGAACAGCCTGATTCTTAAATAGTGTAATTTTGGCCATGCTATTTCAACAAGGTTCTAAAGTGAAATTATGATTGTAACTTCCTTCTGCTACATAGCTGACAATTTACAGTAAAACAGGCAATCATAAAAACGGTAGACAGAATTAAACTATATTCAATGGAGCAGTGCTGGGGATGAGTTTGAGTTTAAAAGTCTGATAGCTTGGGGGCTAAAGCTGACACTCATGGTCCCCAGAGAGTGAACCCTAATGATTTTGGTGATCCTCTAACATTTCCTTTAGCACCACTGTGAGGTTTGCCATGAAATTTGGAATTTATGTTACACTAAAGAATAATTGTAATAACTTTGATCATCATCATGTCACATTTTTAATTTGTCCAGTGCTTTTGTAATAACAAACCTAAGCTGTACTTTGTGTTTTCTGCCAATTAGCAATTGCTATACACGTTAAACTAAGAAGGTGGTACAACATGGTAAACTTTATACTTGTTTAACATCAGCATGTTAACATACTCAGCAGATGCCTCATGCTGCAACCAACCAATGCCAGCAGCTTGGATCCACATCTGGGGCGAGGTCAGTCAGCTATGTGGGATGCAGTCTCCACAAACAGAGCTGTGCTGGGAAGTAATTTCAGCTAAAGTAAATTCAGTTTGAATTGCAGGTCACATGAAGCTCAAAATGATGCTATATATTATCACAATTTAAGATGTTAAGCTAAAAAAAAAAAGCCATGCAAGAATCAAAAACAAGAAAGCCATGAATCCGGCCTATGTGCCCAGAGAGCAACTTTCATTGAAATAAGTTGAGCGCCGTGTTGGTATCCACTTCTCTTAACACATCCATGGTGTTAGACATGTGCACAATCACATACATCTTCGTCCACTACCTCACAAGACTACAGGAGGAGTGTAATTCAAATTACTCAGTGCTTAACATACTTAATGTGGATGTTTGGCAATGTCCTCCGTACAGCGTCCTGAAAACAGCCTTGACAAGCTTGGACCTGTGGACTTCAGTGATATTAATCTGATGTGCCGATTGTTTTTCAGGCTGCTGTATGGGGGCCTTCCTAACATGTGATCTATTAAACTGAGTCAATGAAAGACACCCTGATTGTGTACAACTAGGGCTGGGCGATATGGCCAAAAATGCTATCACAATAAAAACATTTAATACCATTCGATGTCAATAACTATTACAATAAATGTCAAATCAGTATTTCTTTCAAGTTTAAAGGCAGACTTTTTTCATTCTGAGTGAAAATTAAAGAAACAAGATGAATAATTACGTGGTTAAACTTTTCTTTATGGTCAGAATGTGACAAACACTTAATGCCAAACAGTGGATCAAATCTGCTGTTAAATTCACAAATCTGGGAGGTAGAACATTAAAAACTATTATGATGAAATATTTAAAAAAATATATATGACTTGTAAAAACATTTCAGTTGTTCGTGATTCAAATTAATCAAATCAAACAATCATTGCCAATATATTAAACATTTGTTATATTGTTATTGAGGAAAATTATATTGTGATAATGCCATAAACAAACATTTTATAATTTTGTTATATGTTGCCGTCTCGAGCTCTTCAGAAACTGAAAGCTCACATATTCTCTTATCTCCCATCTTTCTCACAGGACCTGATTGCTGCATCAGTCACTGAAGTGAAGTGTGGCTTCCTCTTCAAAAGCCACCCCCCTCATCGCAGGCGACTCCAGCCAATCACAGGCTTTGTTTACTGAGGTTGCTGGGACAACAGGAGGAATATGTGCCCCATGCCAGGCTGACCTTGGGACACTTTTTCTCTCCGATCACCAATCACTCCGGCATGTGTGTCTCACCCCGTCTGTCTTTTTATTTCGATACCAATTGTTCTTTGTTAAATAACAAAAGTGAACAATGTTGCCAAATCAGTTTCAGCTGAAACTTTTCCTGAACCTGGTATCTGTCAGGGTTTTACCGTGTTCACAGTCTTCACGCAGGACATTCTCTGCTTATGTAATATGTATTAAACCAGCTGACGAACTCTTGAGTTATTTTTTAATAAATGGGTCCAGGTAAACTTTCTTGAAGGGGAAATTCATGTTGCATGTTTGGGTGGTGGTGACAGTGGACATGACACCTCTGACATATATAGCAATTGTAAGACGCTTTTGATAAAAGCATCAGCTAAATGACTATTAGGCCTATTATTATTACCATTATCATCATCATCATTATGTTAGAAACAAAGATGACAAGACAGTATCCAACAACATGACAAGCACAAATCAAACAGACAATTAAATAGACAGCAACACGGCAACATAAACAACGATGCCGACTTCTCTATCTTAAAGGTGAGTTTGAGCACTGAATGCTGCTTTCCCTGTGTTCTTTTATCAGCACAAAAACCGCTAAGAGATAAAAGTTCAAAAGCAAGTTTGCGAGTGAAAGACAGAATCCCAGATGGCAGATTAAACCACCTTGGTGACAAAACAACAACAACTCAACAATAAATAAAAAACATCACGCCACAGAAATTAGCACAGGAACGTACAAGATCAAGTTGAGTTTCAGGAAAACGTAGCCAAGCATCAACTTTTAAACTAGGACCACACACACACACACACACCAAAAATCAGTCAGCTGTCGGAGCCAAAAGACTGTTGTTGACACACAGCACCATGGAAACCGAGTGGCCGAAAGAGAAAGAGAGTAAGAGAGTGAAACCAAGTGTGTGGTTTGTGGTCCAGGACAAGAGTATTATGCCAGTCACTCAGTTAATGTTACACACAGAGAGGCAGAGAGTGTACTCTTTATGCAGACACCCTGAGTTGAGGTACTGGATAAGAAAAGATTGATCGTGGATCTAGAGCCGAGCAGTAAAACAATAATGTATCTGTACCAAACAAAGATGTTTTTTTAAAGCCTCTGCAATATGAACATCTCTGCAGCATGTGTATTTAATTTAAAAGGGTATTTTAACACACATTTAATCTTTAACAAATATTGCACCTCCTGCGATTTGATAATTTCAGTCGGCCATATTGAGATTTTGATAAAATTTTTAATAATTGTTCAGCCCTACTGTGCCTCAAGACAAGTAACCAGACAGAGTCTTTACAGCAACAAAGACCCAAGAAAAAAAAAAAAGCTTCTAATGAAGTGGACGTAGGCTGAATCACTGCTGCATATTAAAATGTAACAGATATGTTTATAGAATAATTGTCCTCCAGGTTAAAACACAGACTGAAGCTTCAGTCACTCCACACCGCTAGCTAATGTTACTCTTCAATATCCCAAAATATACAGCCCCGAGGTATCGCAGGTTAAACTGTGTCTCTCTACAGATCCCGTCGGGCCTGTTTTCACCTGGTTCCCCTCACTAGCAGCACTACATGCTGGAACATATCAGCGGGTAAATACCTTTGAGGGATGGGCATTTCAAGCAAAGATATACTATTTGATAGACACTGGGAACTATTCGACTGTGCTGGATGTGAATGGGTGCAATTGTTGGTGTTTGGCACTGTGAGCCTTTGCACTCCGCTTCAATGGACCATGTCAAGCATCATGGTCCAATAAAAGGTTATATACATTTATTCATTCATAAGCAACTTACAATTGCTATATATGTCAGAGGTCGCACTCCTCTGGAGTCTCTCACACCAAAGGCATGTGTCTCATCCACTGCTCCATCACCACCCCCTTGTATATAAAAACTTACAGATTTGACAACAAACTATCTGTTAGCCTTTTAGCTCCTACTTTTGGTTTTCCAACACATTTAGTGAATGTTTCAGTCGAGTAGGAGTTAACGATTTCATCTTTGGCTATATTAGTCCTGAGTTCTGTCTGTAGCTTTTGTCTTGGGGTTTTTGAACAGTGTGTTTTTGTGTTAGTACTTTGGCTGGTTTAGGCCCGTCACAGACAGCTGACTGTCAAAGCTTTTCATATGCTTGATATTCTGTGCTGTGGTTAGTTTGTGGTCTTTAACAGATTTTCAAACATAGTTTGATAGCAGATTGATGTCTTTTGAGCAAGTGAGGTTGATCCACATCTAGCGATTCAATCGACGTAGATTTCGAGGCTGGCAGTGTTTGATCTCCTGGAACTGCTTGTTCTCTTATTTTTAACTTAAGTCATGAATTCTTCAGCTTGTGTAACTCCAGCACACGTGTACTGCATGCATAATGTGACTGCACAGACAAGGTGGTATACTCGATAATGTCCGCTCACACATCATTAAAACAACAAAGACATAGATGTTTACAGCCACAGTGGCCCAAAAAATAAAATACTTCAAAGAAAGCAACACCGGTGACCCTTGTGTCAAAATGTTCTGTGGGTTATTACAATTCGTTTCAGCACAAGCTAACATTCACACAAACACCCCAACACCCTCTTCCACTGCAGCCGTGATGCAACACACCTGTCGGCACAAGGGAATTGCCAACACCCTTTTTACACACACACACACACACACACACACACACACACACACACACCCCTTCACTCAACACACTGGCCAACATCCAAACAGGCAGGTAACACACACAGACACACAGAGTTTTGCAATCTTAAAAATCGCTGCTATGCACCATCAACTCCAAACACAGGCACACACACTCAAAGTGAAGTTCATTCAGGGATGATTTGACTTAGCGTCAACTGTTTGTTTTTTATTCAATCTACATTTGACATCTAGATCTACTATTAATTGTACACTCACCGGCCACTTTATTTAGGTACACTTGTTCAATTGCTTGTTAACACGAACAGCTAATCAGCCAATCACTTGGCAGCAACTAAATGTGTGGTCAAGACAACTTGAAGTTCAAACCGAACAACAGAACGGGGAAGAAAGGGGATTTAAGTGACTTTGAACGTGGCATGGTTGTTGGTGCCAGGTCTGAGTATTTCAGAAACTGCTGATCTACTGGGATTTTTACGCACAGCCATCTCTAGGGTTTACAGAGAATGGTCCAAAAGAGAGAAAATATCCAGTGAGCAGCAGTTGTGTGGACAAAAATGCCTTGATGTCAGAAATCAGAGGAGAATGGGCAAACTGGTTTGAGACGACAGAAAAGCAACAGAAACTCAAATAACCACTCGTTACAACCAAGGTATGCAAAAAACCATCTCTGAACACACAACACGGCGAACCTTGAAGCAGATGGGCCACAGCAGCACAAGACCACACCGGGTGCCACTCCTGTCAGCTAAGAACAGGAAACTGAGGCTACAGTTCACACAGGCCCACCGAAACTGGACAATAGAAGATTGGAAAAACGTTGCCTGGTCTGATGAGTCTTCATTTCAGCTGCTACATTCAGATGGGAGGATCAGAATTTGGCGTAAACATGACAGCAGACCGCCGCAGCAACAATGGCAGAGGAAAACACAGCTGGGGAGGTTTTCATACCGCTTATCAGTCTTTACATTCTGAGTAATGTTGAAAACAAGAAATCAAGAGACAGCTGTGTGCGTGTCGCATTGAACATTACTTCGCAGTACTTATCTGTGGCGTCGCTATGACGACCACCTACATTGAGGGGTACTATCTCTGGGTACTATCTGCAATGGAAAACGGAGCACGGCCAAACGGAGGCGAGGCGAGTGTGTGAATTCTTCTTTGGAAATCAAAATAACTATATTTGTTCATGCGTAGCCCACATACTTCTTTAATAATACTAATGACAGGGCATTTCCACATTTTGTCTGATTTATCTAACACTCAAGCTCAGTTTGTGGCAAAATAAACGGTTGGCACTTATTGTTGGAGTCCCACAGAGCAAAGAAATAAAGCTAAAACACACGGGTTAAGTGTTGAGGATGACAACTCGCAGCTTCCCGTCATTCAAATCTCCCAGCAGACTGTGAAAGCAGCAGACAGACGGGGCAGCAAACAGTCCGACAAACAGCAGAAGAGAGACTGGGAACTGAAAATGTACAGACTCCTCATTTAACTTAATGAAAGGCTTTAACATGACGTGAGTAATAATTTAACCAACGGGACACGTGATGAAAATATTCCTGCCCATCTGTCTCAATGTGTGTGCGACAGACAAAGGCCAGGGGGCCTCCCTGAGGGGCCCCACAGCTAACCATTAACAAAACACAAACACTGAAAAGACGACGACGACGTCTGACAGCCGCAAACCTCTCCTTCCCACGCTCCCTCTCCCTCCCTCTGTGTGTCTGGTACTCTCTTCCTGTCACCGAGGTGAGGTATCTGACAAACAAATGTTACCTGTGTGACCACACTGGATCCCGTCCAGCTCAGTGTTCATTGGAAAGTACCAACGTGTTAACAGAGTTCAATAAAATGTCTCAATGAAGAGTCACGTTCTCATGTTGCACAATAAGCATGGTTCAACAGTTTCATCAGGACATGACGTAGATTTACAAAACCTTCTGGCTGCAGGTATTAAACAAGAAACTAGTACACATCACCTGTATTTAATGAGACACACCCTTCACACAAGTCTGTGGCCACACTAGCCGACACATGAGGCAGCAAAGGCTCATTACACATCAGAAAACACAAGTATCAGGTGGATAAAAAGCAGCTTGTTCAGTCAAACTCAGCGGCACTTGCCCGTTTGGTTTGCTTCGTTTAGGCTGGTGTGAAAGTCGTCACCCGAGCTCTGTTTCAGACCAAACAACTAGACAGAAGGGGTCATGTCTTGTGTCATGACCAGCTCAAACAGGCCATGGTAAATAAGGGAGAGAAACCAAAATAAATGCACTTGAATTAAGCGTTTTATTTACAAAACATGAATTAAATAGTGAAAGAGATGAGACGTGGACAGATGTGAGTGGGTGTGTGTGAAGTATGGCAGCGTTGTGGGTGAAATAATAAAAAGAAACCAAGCAGCACACATGCAGAGACTCTCCTTGAGAAGACTAAGGTGGCAGTTTTTGTAGTGACTGGGAGTACTGGGCCCAGGTGCTGCTAGTCAGCCCATGTGGACGCCCCCGCCTACCAAAACACACAAAACTGCAAGACAGGAGCAAACATGACACAACCAAACAGGCCAGAGGGCCGTCACAGTGTGCGTGTCCCCTACCCACCCAGTCA